CTCAACATGTTCAGCCAGCAACAGTCCAATCAGTTGGACTATTTAATCCGAGCCATTTCGCTTGATAAAAAAGGACAATAATTGCTTAAATATAAAGCCTTAGTTCAAATTTGAATAGATATGAATGTATAAAACATATTTCAAAGACATACTTCCCATTATTAGGTCCAGCCACTAATAATATTTATATACGAGCTAATAGCATGGGATATAACACACGCATGATTTGAATCAGCTTGCAACATGAATGAATATTAATTAATTTCATATAAATCTCAGGTAATTAATATATTATCTTTTTAAAAAAAAAATTCTCAACCACTATTTGCAGCATGAGACCTTTATTCCTCGAAGTGTGTGGGGTTTGGTCATTTGTCTGGAACAAAGCGTTAGATGGGCGAAAGATGACAAGCACCAATTAAAACCAGGATTGGTGTGATCATGTTTGTGGGCATAAGGACTCTTCATGCAAAGCTCTAATAACAATAAGGAGGTTCCAATTCCATTCCAAGTTTCGGCACACACACTTATAATTACGTGTTTGATAAAGAAAAGCAAAGTAAAAGGGACATCCATCAAAATCTTTGACATAATCGACAACGGCAGCTTTTTTAGAAGGAAGGTACAACATTAATGAAGCCATTCAATCTCAGCCACACAAAAAAAATAAAAAATACAAAAGAAGAAGAAGAAGAGAAATTTCTTCGGATCCCCCAAACACACACATTGTTCATATCATCAAAATGATTCTCCTCAACAATTCTCTGCCACCAAAATTGCCTCCAATAATGGCACCTCACCAGTCATACATATCACTCACCACCCTCCTCCAACCACATGTGTGAATCTGCTGGTCACCTCCCAGTGCCCATGAAAATGCTCTCGTACCATGTGCCAGCCAATGAGATCGCAGCATCATGATCAATCGCTGTGATTGCTCCATCTGTGATGCCTCGTGAATAACGGGGTCCACGTTTCTCTTAAATTCCGAGCCCTTGTTTTGAATTATTGATCTGTGACCATCAAAGGCTGTACCTGCTATATATACTATATAAAATAACTCATTTAACTAAATTAAAAAAATTAAATAAGTTGGTTAATTATAAGAAATATAATATATTTTTTTTAAAATACTATAATTATTTTTTTAATATTCTTTCTCTTTTACTTATTTGATTATCATTAAGAGAGTATTTATAAGAGTAATATAAAAAAATTAATAAATATAAAAAATTAGTTTTATATTTAAAACTAAAACTAATTTAACAATTATATCTTATGTCAAGTATCCGAGATGTAATTTGAGCCCAATGTAAGGACCGTGGGGTCATTCATGATTGTTAGGCTTCGGCTAGCTGGTTGGTTGGTTGGTCTGTGTGTGCGCGGGATTCCCCACAAGAGGGTAGAAGGGGCCGCGTGAGCACGTGGCATAATTCTAGAAGCCCAAAGCTGGCTTGCGTCTGGGTATACTTATCAATGCTTATCAACTGCTTCGAGATGGACTCTTTCCATTGGTTTGGCTCTGTCGTCCCACCATAGAATCTTGCCTTTCATAAAAAAATGTAATTGACATGACTAGGGTGAGTTTTTTTAATTTATTCAGTTATTATTGGTCATAGATATAAATGCAAAATATATGTGTGTATCAGGCTGTGGTTCATAAATTATAAAATTATATTATTTGCCGACGCCAAAAGCAACCCTGGCCAAAAAAAGTACGACAACAGAATCCCTCTTTTTCTTTTTACGTAAGGTTTGATTTCGTTCTATTAAATATTTTGTTAGTTCTCTAATTTTAACACAATTATCTTCATTAACAAAAAAATAATAATGTTAAAATTAATATCTATTGAAACATGAAATTCAATATTTAAAACCATGTTATTCATATGAGACTGAAAATATGCTTTACAAAATTAATAAACCAAATTAAAACTATAAAATATTACAAGAAAAGAGAAATGTTATTATTTTTTTGTCTTACATATAAAATTTCATTATAAATATAAAATCTAGGATGATTTGTTTAGAATAGGAGGTGGTATAATTTTTGTGAGTCATTACTTCTCTTCCGTACAATCTTCTCTGCTGATGAGAGATAAGGAAAACACCCGAAGGCTAGATTTTGTGACTAGATAGAAGAGATATTAGTTTCGTACATCTCCCAACCAAATTTAGAAATAAATTGTATAATTCGTAAACAAATATACAAATACGTAGAATATATTTTACATTACATAATAATACAGCACGCAGGTGTATATTATCGGACCATCCTCAATTTCCTTATCATTAATTTTTATACCATCCTATTAATTAGATTCTCAATCAATGACACGCGCACACAAAATTTAGACTGTTGCATGCTTATCATCCACAGGGAAATGTACTGTCACTTTTCTCTGTCTATTACGTCTTGTCGATTATGAGGTCTGAAAACCTTTCATAAACAGAATGTATATTTGCTGCCCCGTGACTATAACAACCACAATAGTTAATTTCCATTTATACTTTTTTAGCTGTATTTACCAACGTTATTTTGCTTTCAATTATACCGTCCACCTCCTATGAAAAAAAGTTGTAATTAATATCCAATCTAGCTATGCATTCCACAGTTAAAATATAGAAAATTCAATCATGTAAAGATGGATACTGAAATAATTGACTTTTCATTTTTCATGTTCTAAGAAATCCAACAGCGAGTCAAAAAAGGAATCGACTAATATAAACTGATTGGTACCAATTACGTCTGTGTCATTCCTACGTTTAAAAAAAAATGTTACCACGAATTGATAACTAGTCAAGAGTGATTGCAGTTCCACGTCATGTCATGTCATAATATACCCATAAGGCGATATTAATATTAGTTAATTCCGATAATAATATCTATTTAATAAATTAACTCAAAGTGCGATGATGATAAAAGTAGCAACGACAGCAACCATAAAAGATGGCGCAATTTAAATATCTCTTACTATATAAAGGAAAATAATTTAGCTTATCCTGTACTTTAAATACATAAAATAAGGGAAAATTGTAAAAAAAGACTTGGAATTGCAAAACGCAGATAGAGACCCTTGACAACTTCACTTTGGGTTTGACAACTTCAGGGTATATATTCTTGTCAAAACCCAAAGTGAAGTTGTCAAGGGTCCCTATCTGCGTTTTTACAATTCCAAGTCTTTTTTTGCATTTCCCCTAAATTAAATCCAATTGTGTGGAACTGAATATTAAAATGTCAGGTAGTGGAGAACGTCGTTTTCTGACGAGGGTTGTTTTCAATATTGCAACCATGTTAGAGATAAAAGAAGCTAGCCACCTGTGATTTGCGGGTATATTGCAGCAGCCATTTTGTATACATATATATAACGTAATAGCACTGTTAGCACCGAAAAAACGTACAAAACAAAATGAAATAAAAGTAAAAGCGAAGCATGATGTGTTCTCCGCAATATTCTATCCTCATCTTCTTCAAGGGCAGATCGCTTTTCTGTCATAGTAGTATTGTGAAAGAGTAGGGTCCGTTTGGTTCTTTTAGTTTCTTTTGGCCTCAAGGAATAGGAGTTAATATTGCCTTGTCACAGATGGCTGTGTTTGGGGTTGCTTTATTATGGCCGATTCATCTCTTTCAAGGGCTTGCCATGGTTGTTTCTGGTTAAATTTGATCGACCATCGCGAAGCCAGAGAAGAGGGTTAGAAGTTAGAGAGGGGTTATAGTAGGAGGACGAGGTAAATGCAAATTTTGAAGGCAGGCGATCAGTTTACATTTGATTACGCCTAATTAAACAAAAAATCATATTTTTTTAAAACATCCGCAGGATCATAACAAAAAAATTCATTAATATTTTTCCAATAAACATAACCCCTTTGGAGCTAAATTGTTCAAATTGGAAGTCATTTACGTATAAATAATAAATAAAACTAACAATATAATTGTTATCCGTGTAGCTATAAAATATGATTGTTATCTGTGTAGGTATAAAAGCTCATGCTGCGGAACTTTAAAGGTTAGAAAGATGGTTTACTTGTATGATATAAAGTTCAGAAATTTTTTTTGGATAATTTGGTCAATTTTTCCAACAGCGGCAGCATCATGCCAAACATGCAAATTCATCATGATTTGTAGACGATTATATACTATCATTATCCTTTTGATGAACCAAACGGTGGCATTGGAAGTGAGGGTCCACGGAAGCCATACACTATATCCGACGTACAATGGTATAAAGCAAAAAAAAAAAAAAATTTCCCTTGATGAAAAACATAGTGCATATGGAAAAACATAATTATTTATTATTTTTTCATAAAATCAAGTGCGGAACTTCTCATGGAAAGCCTACTATTTAATTGACACTTTAGGGTGAGTGTAATTATTATTATTGATTATCACGGTAGGCTTATAGAATTGGACGACCGGCAAAAAGGGGAAAAAAATGGTGTTGTTGAGGAGGGAGTAGTTCAGTTTCAGTGCAGAGATAGCGAGTGGGCGACGACAAACAAAATCCAGTGTGACGTCATCCAAAAAAATAAAAATAAAAACGGATATGACTGTCGTTATCGGGCCGTCCACTTGGCACATATCGCGGCTCCTAAATACGGAAACCCCAAACTCACATACCTAGCTCCTATTGGCACACCTGTTCACCATCTCCAACCCCACTTTCCCCCAACATATCATTAAAATCTTAACCTCCTCTCAGCCCTACACCTTTGCTCGTAGATCGGAGTCTACGTGCCTCCCTTTTGGCGCCTTCCCTTCGACACTCTTCCTTCTCTCATTGGCTGCTTCGTTGGGCCCAATCACATCCCTCACTGCCCCCCACGTGGGCCCTCCCTCTTCCATCTCCCGCCACGTTACCCCCTCCGTCCAATCTCTTCTCTGCGTTGTTTCAGCTCTTCTCCTCACACCTGTCTTCCCCCGTACGTGTCCTTTTCTCCCTCGCTATAAAAGTAGCCCTTATTTCTCTTCCGTCCCCTGTGCTTGCTGCTAGCAATTTTTTTTTTCTATTCTTATCTTGTCCTTTTTTTCCTCGCATTCGGATTTTGAGCTCTTTGCTGATTGCTTTCTTCGCGTCAGACTTGGACTAAGGTGATGGATGGGAGGGGAGGGTGTTGTATCGCGAGATACGCCACCGGGGCGTACGATATGTCCAAGGTTCAGAGAATAATGCTCAGGTTTCGCCCGATTGCCCCGAAACCAACCGCCGGCAGTACCAACTCCGGCACTTCTTCGTCGGAGAGCAGTGACGCCTTCCACAAAGGCGGGAGGCCGAAGAGAAAGTACGTTAGAGATGGTGGCGCCAACAACGGCAAGCGGTGCAATAAGAGGAGAAAATTATCGCCGGAACAAAACGGCCCGGTTGTTACTCTTCCTCTGCTTCCAGAAATTCCTGATCCTAAGACTCCTCTGGCGATAGATCCAGTAATACGTGCACCGAAGGGTCTCCGGAACAACGGAAACGCTCCGATGTGGTTGAACTTCGAGAACGAGAACATCGCGCCGGGTAAAGTAGATCCTCCGGTGCCGTTTTGGTATCATGAGCAGTCGCTGATGAAGGCTGCGGGATCATGCGTGACGGTTGAATGTGTGACGGAGACGTGGGTGGAGGGGGAAGGGCTAGGAGGTACGGACGACGAGCGAACAGTGAGGCTGGGCAAGGACACGTGTCCGGCGTTTATATCGGACGGTTATGGTAGGGTGACGTGGACGAACGGAGCTTACAGGAGCATGGTGGGGCAGGGCGGTGGCAGTGAACAAGGCGTGCGATTGGTGATGAAGGAGAAGGCGGGGATGGCTGTGAGAAGAGCGGTGGTTGGCTACCCATCGTTCACGTGCAGGGTGAGGGTAGATTACACGTGCGGGAGCAAGACAAGTTCGTTGACGGTGCCTTGTGACGTGTGGAGGATGGACAGCGGCGGGTTTGCATGGAGACTGGACGTCAAAGCTGCTCTGAGCTTGAGCCTGGTTCGGTAATGAGGAGACACGCGGAATATAGAGTTTTATATATATAGATATGGATAACAGCTCCTGACTCCAAACGGATCGTTTCATCTGCGAAATCCGTCCCTCTGAGAGAAGTGTTTTCTTTAATTAACCTGATATCTTAACTCTTTTTATAAGTGTGAATATCTACGAGCCTAGTAGTGTGTATGTGCTTCATCGTTTACGCAAGTATTGGGTTGCTGGGAGAGGTTTCTGCGTCTGACGTGAGTTTGAATTTTCTGAGCGTTTGCTTGCCAGAAGCATGTAATTTTGTGTATCCCACGTAGTAAATGTTTTTGTGGTGTTCTTGATAATATACTCTAGTTTACTGGTTATATATCGCTGATGTTTACCCTTGGAATTAATTAGGGCTGTAGTTGTATATAAATGAAACCCTGTCCAGAGACTACTCATCCGCTTTTCTCCATCTATAGTAATCAGCAGGGCATGGAAAGGGTACTGGATTATATCAGTACCGTTTGGAGATTTGTGACGATAAAGCGAAAGGTTCCGTTTGGATTATTTACAAAGATGAAGGTAAATACCAGAGGATAAAAAACACTTTTTTAAAAGCTATTTTCTCTTGGCCCGAAGTCTATGAGTCAGATCCGTGATATATATAGGTCTGCCATTTTGGTTAAGTGTGAATGAATTACGAAGTGGGGAAAGGCATGTGTACAAAAACTGAGAAGATGAATTATGGGGGGATGGGAGGGGGGAGAAGAACATGTGGGGTGGGGACAGGTAGGTGAGAGGGGATTTGGATTTGAAAGGGAAATGTGAAGGAGGAAGAAGAGCAGAAATTAAAAAAAAAAAAAAATCAGAGTTTAAAATTGGATCGATGTAGCTTTTAAGTGTGATCTGATCGCACCACGTTGCTTCATCTGAGCAAAGCTTTGTATTCAGCGTGCTGTTATTTTGTTTCTCAAATCTTCCGTGACAACATCAAACGTGAGTTACACGTCGCTTTACATATTGGTCCTTTTGAGACATTCGGATCGCAAACTGGTATGCAGAATATATATTAGATCAGTCTGGATTTTGAAAATGAATTATTTATACCTGCTCATGAATACGACTCTAATTAGGTGAGTTTTTTTTTTTTACCAGACTAATTAGGTGAGTTTCTTTGTTGGTGCGGACCGATATTATATCATGTGTGGATATCTATGTCGATTACTTTAGCCTAAAAATATGTTAATGGTATGATGAGCCATCATCCTGCTGTTACTGGCCTGTGTATATTACGAATTTGTACTGTGCATGGAATCTTATATTACTTATGGGTCTTTGAAGCTAAGGATTTTGATTAACATTAACAAAACCCATTTATGAGAAGTTACTTGTCGCTTAAAATTATAAACCCGTATCTGGGGATTGAACTTGTATTTTTTGTTTTGAGTCACGTTGGAAAATCTTACAAATATTATGGGATTTATAAGTTTAATGGTTTTTTTTTTTTAGTTTATAGGTTAGTCTTTTGGAACTGAGCTCTCTTTTTGAATTTATACTTATCATATTGGTGTTTTCATTGAAAGTCCACTAACTGGAAAGGTTGCCTGCGAAGGGCTCTAGTAAAAAGACTAAATGAAGTGCTGTAAAGTGAAATTGCCGGAGATATCAGTTTTTGAGGGAGGTATTCTGTTATGAGTTCTATATTGGAAAACCCCACAACACACGAGGTTTATAAATTCAAGGTGATCTCTCTCCTAATAGGTTAATTTTTTAGGATTGAGTTTTTTTTTGGCTCATGCTCATCACTTTTTTTTTAATGGGTGTGACAAGCAATCGGTATTATTTCCTAATTTCTTAATTGTTAATGCTAATCTTAATTCTAACCATTCATTCTGAGTGCTTTATATTAAACGGGATAATATCCCTTGCTTTTTATGCAGTCTTGAGATGTACGTACATGGATTTCAACAAAACATACGTGTACGGGGATCCTTTGAAGCTGGGGATTCCTGAAGATGAAGTTCATGTTTTCCTCTCACGGTCCATCTACGTAGCTTCTTAAAACTGGTGCTTTTTTGGTCCATCTATTTATTCTCCAAACGGCAAAAGATCTGTGTGTGTGTGAACACAATCAAGCGCTCTTTCTGTGTGTTTATACTCTCATCACTAAAACGGTGGGGAAAAACAGACATTTTCTGCGGACAATATGGTGAGATGATCACTATTTTTCTGCTGACAAATTATTCGCAACTACACAAATAGGTTCAAAGGAATCTCATCTTGTTCGTGGTCCATGTGGCACAGCAAAAGAACCATGGCTATAATGGGTGTTGTTTTCATGCTATCTTTTTTATATTATGAACATTGCAGAATTTTCCTTTGTTTAATCAGTGTGAAATATTGGACTTTAAGACAGCATCTAAATATTGTGCTCATTTTAGCCCCGGATTATCCTATGTTGTATTCCAAAACAACAAATTCACAAACACAAAATAGAGAATTACTTATGTGGAATGCCTTTATCTGCATGTTAATGATATGACCACTGTAGTTTATGAAATATGAAATAAGTATGTGAAGAAAGTTTTGTCTCAACTTAAGTAAAGCATGCTTATAAGGTGCTTAAATAAGCAGGTCCAAATTAGCTGTGTTTTATTGATGGCATTTCTTGTTTATTTGAGAAAAATTATACATAAAAGTTCTAGACCTGAGATATCAAATTCAAACCATAATTGCATCCTTCAAAAATGGATGGAAGACTTGGTTAGTGTTCCATTGTTGGTCTAAGAGGGTGTTTAGATGAAACCAAACTATAGTTTGAAGAATAGTTTCTGAGGAATAGATTCTAGGGAGAATAGATTTTGTGAAGAATAAATTATATGAAAAGTGATTCTGAAAAGTGAGAGTGTTTAGATAGTTGTTACTAGAAGCACTTTTTACATATGCAAATTACTAAAAAGAAACATAAGTTAATACGATAATTATATAAGGGATATATTTTATAATATATTTTGATTTGAAGAAATAAAATTGTTAATAAAATAATTTTTACTAACATAATTAATAATATATAAGATAATATAATTAATAAATAATTAATATGTATATATATTTATAAATTATAAGATTAAATAATGAAGGATCGAGTGCGAAATGAAGAGTGAGGCATCAATTATGGGGATTGTTTTGTCATATGTTGTTGGGCCCGCACCAACCTCTAAAAAATTTTGGGGTTCAAAACCATGGTTTGGAGTAAAACTATGGTTTTGAATCTCAAAACGATGGTTTCGGTAGAAGTGATTTGAAATTGCTTCTGACTATTTGGCTGACTTCTTCCCCAAACCATGGTTTGCGGAGACATCCAAACAGGGCCTATAATGTTTTAGTTTGGTCCAAAATAATTGTTTCGACAAGTTGTTAATTATTTTTCCCCCTACCGTCCCATTCTCCATGAACACTTCATTTTAGTGATCTCTTTTCAGTAACCTGACTTTCATTAAATAGTATCAGTAGTTTAAATCGAGATATTTTGGTAATTTAAAGTGCTATATTAATTTAAGTTTACTATAACTTAGATTGTTTAATTACTTCATAGTCTGTAGGCAAAGATAAACAGTAATTTTTTCACGAACGAAAGATAGTACATTCTATTAAAAATTTGGAATAACACAAATAAAATCGTTCGTGTCAGTTATTGTTCAAATCCCTTAATCTGTCGATTAACCTTTCTGCAGTTCCTAACTTCAGATTCAGAGTTTTTGAATTATGTTCAAGATATGATATGATTCCCATTTCATAGATAATTTACGTAGAAAGAATCAAGTGATACCCATAAATGAGAGAGTAGGTGGTTTGATTCCATGTCTCTGTTGGAGCAGTACCTTTGGGCATATAAAATAATTATGTGCCCATCAAGTTTATATGGTCAAGAAAAGTTGAACTCAATTTAAAATGCAGGATTTTATTCCTGCCCCTTAAAAAAGCTTGGAATATAGGATTTACAATGACCATTTAAAAATAAAAATAAGAATAATTATGTCGTCAAATGGTTGATAAGCCTGCTTACAAAAAAAAAAAAAAGGAGAAAGAAAACTCTGGACCAAACTAAAGAGGTATATGTGGGGGTTAGGTTAGCTGGCTGGGGCTGTCCTAGCTTAACCACAGGTTTCGAGTTCGAGCTGTGGGAATGCAGCACCCTGAGGGGTCAGAGGGCGCTGACCGAAAGGTTCCTTGCAAGCCCTCGATCCGGATTAGTCTGGGGATGTTGTCACGGCTGAAAGACGCCTATTTCCCTGAGATACCGGAGGAGAAATCCAAAAAAAAAAAAGAGGTATATGTGGGGGAATGTTGGTTTTCTAGTCTTTTAAAACAAAAGTCACAGGGCATGCGACGAGTCCAATCTTATAGCTAACGAATAATCAGTTCATATAATTAATAGTTTGTGTTTTATTTTTATTTATAAGTCACCTGTGTGTTTGCAGATATCCTTCACTGTATGTTTTTTTTTTTTTGGGTTGGTTAAACGGTGGTTGTCCATGTGTGATGTGATCGGCTCGTCAAAAGTCTATGGACTTGGGCTGGGCTGTAAAGGCCCAACAATAGACAACGCATTTTTTGGGCCATTCGCTCCCACGGCGCTTTAGAAAGATACGAGCCCGTACTACGAAGCTTCGGCTGGCACATTGAAATGGGTCATTTTGTTATCCAATTTGATTATATGGATAATTAAAATGCCATTATAAATTATATTAAAATTTCATATTTTTCAAACGCCTCAATCCCTCCCAATATAAACAACATCAATTTTTCCTATTTTTTTATATATTTAAACATACATTTTTCTGAAAAAAATTTTAAATTTTTATTTTTATTTGAATTACACTCATATGAGAAAAAATGAATTAAGTTAGTGCGCGAATATGATTCCTTTTTATGATACAAGCGCAAATATGATTTCTTCAGAACTAATAACAATTCGGCCATTTTGTAAATTAAGTACTACTTTTGACTATTAATATAAGAGTTCGTTTGATTTTTATTTTAACTTTAAATATAAAATCTTAATATATTTTGTCTTTTATATTTATTTTTTAAGTAATCATTATAATAATAATTCTAGTTATTAGTAAGAATATTTTTTAAAAAATAATACCTATTTATTATAAATAACTAAGTTAACTAGTTTTTTAAATTTATTTAAATTAGTTAATTAATTTTTATATTAAAAACATAAAGTAGCAGCTATTATAATCCACACAGAGCGCACAGCACGTTTTCCCGCAAGCCAGCGTGGCTTATCGTTAAGTTTAAATTTGCGCCGTCAGATTAACCGTGGTCGAAAAAGAACAGCTGAGATTTTCCCGACGGCGGCCCGCCGTGAGGCAACGGGCCTTTATAAATGGGGAAAGGGGCGACGCATGTAACTCAGCTACCTCTCGTCTTTGAAGATTTCCCTCTCTATTTCTCTAGGTATGGGAGTATGAGTATGAAGACTTGAGGTAAGAGAGGGTTCTCTAGGGTTAACAAGGACGGCCTTGGAGTCTGCAAGAGATTCCGGTGTTGAATTGGGTCTTGCTGAAGGTTTCGCTCTTTATAATTGTATCAATTCTCATTTTTTTCTTGGCGTGGCGTCGATCAATTTGGTTCATTCCCTCTTCATCTAAGGTTACCATTTCTTCTTCGATTAACTTCTATCGTATATCTTGCGAGTTCCATTTTCGTTGTCCATATACCTGCGCACTCTCTTTTTTCATGGACACTTCAGTCTTGAGCCTCCCACTCCTGAGTTTATGATCATGGCTTCTATGGTTGAGAGGAAACAGCGAGGTGGCATTCTTTCGAACTGTGGTGAATGTCGGGTGGAGGAATAACGTTTTGCGCACTGGACTAGCTAACCTATAAAGCCTAATCTGTCCTTGTTCACAATTTTCCAAATTGTTGATCATGAAAAGAAATTTGAGAGTGTTGTCGTCCAAAAATGCACATAAGATTGCTAATCATGAAGATTTAACATTTTGGGATTAGTAGACAGATGATAGAAACACGCAACAGGCATAATTACTGCCTTATATTGTTTGAGGAACATCTTGTCGATACGGAAGAAACAAGGCTAGAGAATAGCGAGAGAGTTATCCCCATCATGCAGTTTCGTCTTATTTAGTGCTCCTCCATCCTTTTTTATATGGCAAAATCACCTACTGTACATGAATCAAGAAAACTAATGTCTTTACCCAAGAACGGTTGATCTAGTTATAAGGATTTGGCCCATGTCATAAGGTGGTGGGTTAAATCGCTTAGTAATGTGAGCAATAGGTGACTTTTAACTTTTTTTGATAAAAAAGAGAACATGGTTTTAAGATTACCTCATCTTTCCACAGATATCCTTCAATTGATATTCTCTTCCCTCTCACGCACTCCCTCTCAATTAAACGAAGCCACCATTTTCAGGGGCAGTTTTGGCAAAAAAACATATTAATTACTGCCAAGATTTTACAAAAACATGTTATAAATAAGAATACCAAAGCTTTCTAAAAGTCGCCTTGTAATATTGCTAATATGTTGCTTATCGGAACTTAATTTTATGGCACCAGAGTGCACCTATAGAATTTGCTGGAAAAAAGGACTTGAAGAAGTCCTCTCCCACCCACCAAGTTGATGGCGAAATCCAAGAAACGCTCCAAAAGTCACACTAGCGGTCTTCTTCCCAACTTTCGCACGGGAAGGACTGATTCAAAGCTTGCAGTGTCTAAAAATTCTCGCACCCTGAAGAGCCTCAGCTTGAATACTGAAGATTATGACGATTTTCGTGTTCCATTGGAAGTTTTGTCATTATCGAAAATGTCACGTATTGAAAGGAAGAACTTGAAGCTGAGGTTGAAAATGGAACTCGAACAAGTTAGGAAATTTCTGAAGAAAGTTGCCCCTGTGAACTCAGATCTCCCTGCATTGTCTGCGTCTAGTGCCATAAGGAGCTGCAATGGGCAGGAGAGGTCTGAATCGGAAAATCAGCATAGATTACTTGAAGTATCAGCTACACAAGCTAAGAAAAGGGCCTCATTAGGACATAATGGTCCTAAAAACAAAAGAAGGATAGAAACTATGAAAATTGCAGCACAAGTGACATCCTCAAATGCTATGTTGATGAAGCAGTGTCAAGCTTTACTAGACTGTTTGATGTCACGTCAATATGCTTGGGTTTTTAACACTCCAGTTGACATTGTAGAGCTGGAAATTCCTGATTATTTTACTGTCATCAAGCATCCGATGGATTTAGGTACTGTGAAGAGTAGAATAACTTCAAGCCAATATTCAAGTCCGATGGACTTTGCTGCTGACGTGCGGTTAACTTTCTCAAATGCAATGAGTTACAACCCTCCTGGCAATGACGTACATATCATGGCAAAAACACTTAGCAAGTATTTTGAAATGAGATGGAAAGCTATTGAAGAGAAGATCCCTGTGGCTAATATGGCACTTAAGTCTTCAAAACCTACTACTGGTGTAGGAACTGAAATTTCAGACCGACCTCCTCCCTTAAAGAAGAAGAAAATTAGATCCGATGACACTGATGTCATGCCAGAGCCTGTTAAAAGAATCATGACTGATGACGAGAAGCATAAATTGAGCTTGGAGTTGGAAGCACTGCTTGGAGAGTTGCCTACTTCCATTGCCAATTTCTTAAAAGAACACAGCTACCGTGCAGATGAAACGAATGATGATGAAATTGAGATTGACATTGATGCTCTCAGTGAGGAGACCTTAGTCCAACTGCGGAAGCTTCTGGACAGCTATATGCTGGAGAAGCAGAAAGTCCACGAAAAAGCTGAGCCTTGTAAAGTGAAGGTCTCTCTCCCTGTTCATCTTCATGCGCCATATTTCATTATATGCAGATATGTTTTCTTGATCTGACGTTTATGGGGCTTGCCTACAATCTATAGATGGTACATCGTTGATAGTTACTTATTCCTTTTCTGGTTTTGGTTGATTTCATGCAGCTTCTAAATGAATCATTACCACTGTGTATAGGTATTATTCTAGCCCTTTTCTTTGCTTTTTCGGAACCCTACTGGCCAAAATCTCAACAATGACAAGAGCCAAGACATTTTGTTTTCTATTTGCGCAGGCAATGAGCCTGTTGAGGAGGATGTGGACATTATTGGCGGGTGTGCTGTTCCTGTTGTTAGTTATCCTGCCCTGGCAATTGAGAAAGATGGCGCCACTGCCAACACAAATAGATGTAGTAATAGTGATAGTTCAAGCAGCTCGAGTAGCGAATGTGGTTCTTCATCCAATGGTTTGTTTTACACTTTTGCTTCATATTTCTGATGTGTTTTCTAGTCTCAGGGCATGGTTTTGGTTTTCTAATGGTTGGCAGCATGTACACACTGAATTTGCTCTTCTTCCTCTTCTTCTTTTTTAAAATAATTTTTCAATATTTTGTAAATATATCGTGGTCTGTTTTTGCATACATGTTGTTCTACAACAATTTCAAGTGATTCTTATAAATCATTCTGTAACGTGGAATATATGAAGGCAATTTATTTAACAACATTCTCAACAGTCTTTTGTCTTGCTCTGCCATAATAGCTAGTGTTGTCTCTCATCTGTTGCCATGTCTGCTTTGGGTTCCCCTTGACTATGTTGAATTCTGGTGTATTTTTTAGAGTATCCTGAAGGAACACTACATTCTATTTATTGCGTATTTTTATAAGAATCCTGAAATCACGTTATAAACAGAGTTTGCACCAAATCCTTTTACACTTGTTGACTTTGCTGTATTTGTGACTTCACAGGTTCAGATATGAGTAGTTCGTCTGGAACTGAGTCAGATGCTGCCGAAGTTTCAAAAACTCCTAGTGAGCTAAAGGTAATCATGCCAATATCAGGATTTACGGTGTTGGCAGAATTTTCTTTTGTCATGATCACCATCTTTTATGACAATTCTGTATTTTAGGAAAATGTAGCTTCTGTTCTGACTCTAGATCCAGGCAAAGGAATCATGGTGTTTCAGAAACAAGGAAGGGTGAGTGTACTGTAAGCATCAGTTTGCATTACGGTTTCTTTATAATAGGTTGGTTCACAAAGTCTTGGTCATCCACTGTTATCTTCAAGCTCACTTCACGTTTCCTGTACAGATTCAATGAATATGATCGACCAAGCTGAGCAGAGTTCCCATTGCAAGGCAGTTACTGTTGGTGCGGAAGGCTGTCTAGAGGGTAAGCTTGAGAAATGAAGGAGTCTGTCTGCTGTTAATTTTGGGGCATGATCTCACCTTTCATGCTGTAACATTATTTATAGGGGAGAGTGCTTCTGAGAGGCAAGTCCCCCCAGAAAAGCTCTCCCGTGCCGCTTTACTAAGGAGCCGCTTTGCTGACACCATACTTAAAGCCAAAGAAACGGCCTTGGAAAAGGTTTGTTACAGAAAAATTTAATGTCTCTTTCTCTCACTGCCACCGCGCCACTATTGTTCTTTTGCTATGATTATTATAAAAAATGCTAGCATTGGCGACATATCGGAAGTTCTTGATTTGAAAATCTTTTGAATTGGTCGCATGATTAAAGCAGGACCCTCACAAACCTATAATAGGGAGAGAACAACTTGAAAGGCGGAGAACAGGTGTGTTTATTATTTTGAGTCTCGGAGTACTTCTTGCATGATTCAATACACTATCTGCTATTGTTTGTGTGGTTTTTCATTTTAAGCTTCCTCTGATTTATAATTGTGTCATACGAGAAAGCCCAACTAGAGGCAAAGGCAAAGGCAAAGGCAAAGGCTGCAGAAGAGGCTCAAAGAAAAGCTGAAGCAGAAGCTGCTGCTGCGGCCAAAAGGAGAAGGGAACAAGAGAGAGAAGCGGCTCGTCAAGCCTTGAAACATGTAATCTTGATCGGAAAATAGATGTTACGATACATATTGAACTTTCTTTTTACTTCATTGTGTTGCTCTCTGCAGATGGAGAAGACTGTGGATATCAATGAAAACTCTCAACTTTTGAAAGACCTGGAGATGCTGGGAATTGTAAATAATGAACATCTGCCAAGTTTCCCTGAGAAGGCAAGGCCAGACCATCTTTTAAACGGGTTAAGCAGTTTCAAACTAAAGGTGGGGAGTGACCCATTAGGACAGCTAGGATTGTGCATGAAATTTGATGACGACGAGGATGAGAATGATGAACTATCACAATCAACGAATGGTGCCGAAGGAGAAATTGATTGATATAAGGAAGTAGAGCTAATAATGCGATGCTCATGTTCGTGCTACGCTTTCATGTAAACAGCGACATATTTTGATTAATCAGACTATTTGAACCTGTACATAAAATCCTAGAAAGCGGAGAAAGGGTAGGGAGAACAGAACACAAACATGACTAAAATAATTTTGGGGCACACAACATCAGACTTCCTGAATCAATTCTATGTTGTTGCCTCCATCTTTCAATCAGAAAATCTTCATCGCTTTTAGATTTGGTGTACTCGTAGACATCATAGCTCAACTCTTTTTTTGGTTCAGTTGAGAATGCTTGGCTTAAAAAGCCGAGAGATTCTCCAAATTCAAGACTTAAATCTTTCCCCAGGTACACTGGAAGGCCACCAGGGCTCCAACTTCCCCGACTGCTGATAGAGTTATTGCTTTTATTTCGCGCTTTAGTGATTTCCTGACGCATGAAATTCAATCATTCAAGTCAAATGAAAGAACGCTACAGGAAATAATCATCAACAAACTTTGGCATATTGAACGTTTTTTCGACGACTAAAACAGAAGAATGATAATTGAATGATAACCTGAGAGGAACTAGCAGTTGTTGGAGTTGTTGATACTCTCATCTTATTACGGCTTGCAGGAGAAGCTTCATTACTCGTCTCCCACTGCAACCATGGCAACACAACCCCATCCGTTTCAACGTTTCTGAGCATTTGTGGACCATTAAATGCTTCTCGACTTCGCAGTCCTCCAATGGATGAGCTTGTGTCGCTTCTTTCTCCATCAAGCGAGGAAATATCTGTGTCTTCAACGTTTGAAATAAAATCCTCAATATATCTTTCGGCCTCCTCAGTCAGGCGCTTAGACATTCCCCTTCTGTCGCTACTTCTCTGTGAAATAAATAGCATTGTTAAAAATACTCAACCGCATAATTTATCAGCTCTTCACTCATCAAGAAAGACGCCAATATGTTAAGTCCCAATTGCAAGGAATTCAGTGTACCACAAGATTCTAAATCTTGTAATTCACAAAAAAATAAAATGCACCTTCCTGGCACTTGATGGTTTTTGCATGGCTATACTCTTTGAATGAGGACACAATTCTTTAAAGACTTCAGAAAGTTCTCTGTGCCGCTGCTCCTCTAATGCTATTTCAGTCAACAACGCTTGTTTACGCTTATCTGACTGTCAATTTCCAAAGAAAAGGCCGAAATGTCATAACTTTACTCGTCAAACAATTGATGAAGTATTTCTTCTTCTTCCTCTTTTTTTAAATATCGTTATAAAATTAACAATACTGCCTCCTGTCCGCAATATACGTGATTTGCTTAGTTGGTTTTATTGTTACATCATGAGGATTTAAGTTCTTGACCTCTACTTGTACTTCGCCCACATCTTCACCGGCGTTAATTTCAAATGGCATGATTTGCTTCATTTGGTAAAAAAAGGGACGAAAAAACATTGAGAATATCTGAAAGAAGTTGCCTCAGAGGGCAAAAAGGCAATAGCTGAAGAACATCTTTTTGACGACAAGCGTTTTTCACCACTCAGAATTTTATCCCACGTCTGAGCAAATTAAATTTAGACTGTTACCTTTTCCGGGTTAATTTCACAGCTCCTTCTTTTTGAAGTAACGTCCTGAATAATAGCAGAGTTGTTTCAGAGAAAGCAATTAGCAGCAGTTAAAGTAGAATTACTTGCAGATAAAGCGGCAATTCCACAAGTAACTCTATTTTCACTAAGGAATAGGGAGGATGCACCAAATTCTAAACATGCATGTCATCGAACATGAAAGCTAACAAGATTTAACATTTCACAAGACCTGTTTATTTGCCATCCTGATTTCATCTGCAGCATGCCTTAATTCTTTCCGCATTGCTATGTGCGATCCGCTGTCCATGACAGGACCATCTGCCTTCCGATTTAAAGGATAAAGAATATTAGAAGCAATCAAGAGATTCACCAGAAGTAGCATTGCGCTCTTTAGACTTTCATAAACCCTTTTTCGAGCATAAGCTGCTTGAATTTTCTCAAGTCCATTTTTATTGAAGCAAGCTCCTGTCCATTGGTCGTCAGTAAAAATCGAAGAGTGACTTTGCCCCGCCGTAAATATTTTCTTAAATTCAACAAGAATATATATATATATTACGAAAACAACTTAATATGTCGTTGAAATGTCAATGTTGTCTTGTATCATCTGAGTGTTTCAACTGGTGAATCATGATCACGAGCGAAGTGCCTTGATGGAAAATTACAGCTGTTGGCATTCTTAGCAATAAAGTAACCGATATAAATCTTAGGAAGAAACCCAAAAATTAATCGTACTTACAGGGTTGCCACTGTATGATCTCAAATCCTTCTGGCTTAGGGACTTTCTCAGCACTGGTTTTTGACTTGGATTAACTGGGTTGCGCAGCAGCTTGTTCCCAATATCACTATTTCTGGCATCCACGTGACTCTTAGCACTGTGAAAATGGTCCACATCACTCTGTGTAATGCATACGTAAATAACTCAATTTATTTATAGAATATGGTTAAGAGAGACTCGCCAAGCATAGTTAACCAGAAAATGATAAATCATGCTTCTGTAATGAAGAACTAGGGCTGAATTTTTTTAAGATTAATTTTGTTTGTTTAATGACAGGCTTAGCCAGAAATTTGGCGTTAAAAGTAGGCAGAGTTACATCGCGACACCTGGGTTCAGGGTTTGTAAATAATTCAGACACTGAAAGTAATATTTTGCTATATTTTGTGATTTTCATTTGAAAGAATCGTCTTCACCCTTTTCGGGAGGATTTCATGTGTCTGGTAAAAAAAGAAGAGGAGGAGGAAGATTTCATGTGTGTATTTCCTGCTAGGCAAAGAATTACTCGCAGTCTCAGCTGCCGAAGTGGTATACTCTAGGCAAACAACTAAGTCGTTCCATATTGAGTCAAAACTATACAGTTTGGAAAATTTTCATTTGCACATCGAAATTTGACGCATCTTCTTTATTGGAACAGGATGAACGTCAGACATTCAGGGTACTAAGTAATTACACATCAAGGACCATTAAGTAATTGTTCTCAAGGAACTTTGTTTTCCCACAGAGCTGGACTAGGGTCGCTTTGTGATGTTAAACATTATCCAAAATACGTGCTCAAGGAAAAAAGATACAGCAGCATCAAAGGAACGGTTTCTTACCTCAGAATCACTGATCTGGTACGGCGCCACCGAAACTGATCTCCTCCTTCTCGGATTAGCGTCCGACACTGGCCTTCTCCCGCCAATATTATCACCAGCTTTGGCACTTCCATCATTAGCTACCCCCGTTCTCCTGCTCGAGATGGACCTCCCTCGCCTCTTCGATGCAGGTATCTCACTAGCAGGACTAGCCTCATTGCGTCTCGAAGTTGAGCGACCTCGATCACCAGATTCGAAGAATGCGATGGCAAGATCATCGAGACTTATCTCAGGAAACCCAGAGCCAGTGTCAGTCTTGACAAACCTACCTCTAGGTGCGGGGAACTCGTCAAGGATATTGCAGGTGTCCTGAGCGGGAATCCGACGGGAAAAACGGCTGAGACTCCGAGAACGACGGTGAGACGAGGAGTTGCGACGGGAAGAGGTGGAGTCGTCAGTAGACGAGGCCGACGAAGCCGGTATGGGCGTTCTCTTGGTGGTAGATTTGAAAGCAGCAGTCGCCATTGCAGTGAAATAAATAAGAAAATTGTAAGAAAGGAGATTGAAATGCAGATAGAGAATGTCAAGGTCTCAGGTACTTCAATTAAAATACAACATTCGCAATAGTCTCACAAGCTCCAAGGTGATGCTATGCAATTTGTAAGTAAAGAAATGGTTTGGAGTTTGAACTTTGGAGGGAGAGGGAAATGGGCGGAGAGGCCGAAGATGTCAAGGTTTAAAATTTGGAGCGATTAAGAAGTCGACTGGTTTTGTCAATTCTACTAGTCATGAGGATCCGCTCACACGGATTGATCTAGAGACATATGTGGCGCTCTTATTAGCTCGGCCTTTCAAAATTGGGCTTCGTAAGCCCAACTTGATTATGGGTCGCATTGGGACTCATTTTATTCAGCTGCTCCCAACAAGGCCCAAACAACACCTCCTGGTTTCAACGTTTGGGCATTATTTGTAATTCCTTAATTTATACATTGTACCAAAAACATTCCTTAATTTATTTTTTTAATGAAAAAAACTTCTCAGTAATTTCTCAATCTGTCATTACCGAAAGAAAAATAGATACCCATCCCCATCATTGAGGTGCCGTATCTTTATTAAGTTCCAGTTGACACATTAAGAGACCCATTACGTAAAATGTAAATACTCAGTTAAATGATAAATCATTAAGCAGGATCGCCTGTGTGTGCGTGTAAAGGCTATTCAGTATCACGTGCGTGTAATATAGTATTTATAAATTATAATACTCACCCTTTTTGGAAAATTATCCTCTCTTGCTATATAGATAATAATATGATATGCCTTATGCTGATTTAGAAACCAAAATATCCACGACAATAGCCCTCGAGCCCTTTACGCTTTATTATTTCACACATTATAGCGTGTGAAAATCTTGTACCATTAAAAATCAGTAAATCAACCAGGAGTCAATTGTCTAGCTAATGCCTTTACTTCTTTTACTGAATAATTTGGGGAATCACAAGTATTTATTTCAATATATGTATAAATAATGAGAAAATTGAAAGTCACTTGCACATGAGCCTTTGAAAAAAGAGTTGTAGAAAAGGAAAGAGAGAAAGTGACAACACAAATATTGTGAAAAACTAGTAGCACTATCACTGAATGAGTTTTTCTTTCAAAAAATAAAAATAAAAGAGTAGGCAGTAATGCCTAAGATTACATAATTAGGATTAAACTCGCAACTTCTCATTTATAAGAGAGCTTACACGCCACTAGGTTATAAGGCTGAATTAGCCTTTGAATCTGTGATGGGAACATATATATAGATATATATAGCAATAGGCAAGGAGCAGTGTAGTGACCAAACATCTTTACGTATGATCTCCAAACTTGGGCGGGTCAGACGCCCCGAATGGATTGTGGATCCCTAGACCGACCCGTGGATGAAGAATATTAAGCTCAATAAACGCAAGACATAATCTTTAAGATCCTAGTTTGAAGGTCATATATACGTATTGGGGGAGGATGGAGTGAGAAGCAAAGATGATAACTAAAGGACATGGAATAGGGACAGAGATGGGGTCAACCAAGTTCTGCATTGAAGAGTGAAGCCAATCTAATGACCTTGTTCTTAGAATGCCCAACATCCCATTTTCTACAACTTATGGCCCTTCATGCTCAGAATTATGGCTTCATGTCCTCTTCCTCCACTACCCTGTCTCTTTCGACCCCTACAAATTATCCCCTGTCAATCCATTTCGCCCTATATTTTTAGCATGCTTATGACAGCTAGTTCAACAGTCACGCAAAGAAGGATTCTGTAGAAAATAGAAAACGTAGCAGTTCATCAACTGTTAAGTGCAATAAAAAAACGGAACCAAGCACAAGAATGTAAGTCAGCAACAATAACAATGAATAAATTTCACCGTCCAGCATTAAATAAAAGCGAATGAATCGATGCTCTTTCTATTGACTTACAAGGGTTCAGATAGCACGTGATGAATGTATGTCAGAGACGAGAAAGACAAGGAAGAAGGTCACGTGGAGTGTAGCTGATATATATATATATATATATCAGAAGTCAGAGGAAATAGTGTATGATCTTTTACGACAAGGAACAGAGAATTACGACAAGGAACAGAGAAGTTCAAGGGAGAAGTAAGGTTCATGAACTTAAGATTATGATCAGAAACCGAAGAAAACGATTGGGCCCTTAGAAAATGAGTCAGTATAGAAGAAGACAAAAGCTAGGCACATGCTCACATGGCTGTGCACATGAACAAACAGCTCCAATTCACCCATAGAATGGACAATAAATCCTGCAAAACCGTCCATGGCAGCATATTGTACATCATTTATACATACGATATTTTCAATGTGGTACTCCTATATACCACTATTTCATTCCAGATTAAGTTAATTTGCTTTGTTTTTACTTCAGTAGTTAACATGTTGAAATATTAACTTCCCCCCTTCTCACAATCACAACAAGTGATTAAAAATACTGATACTTTGATTAAATCCCTGTGAATTGTTTATGTAAAAGACTTGCATTTGAAGCTGTTTCAGTGTTCCCCTTCAGTTATTATTTGTGGATCATTCTTCTCAGAGGACAAGTTGGAGTTGTTCAAGACTTCAACGTGTGTGTGTGTGTAGATGGATTTCCCAAATATAGAACCAAACCATAAATGCAATATTGACATATCAGTATCCGTAAGAGACATATAAACATAGATATGGTAATTACTTACAGATTTGGACGTGTCAATTGTCATCACTGTTATCATATACGGTTGTATGCATAATTGTATGAGATGAATTTTACCCTAGCCTCATCATCAACGCAACCTTTTCATAGAGATATCATGATGCCAACTTACATGTCAAGTCAAATTTTAAAAAGAACATGTCATGTTAATATCTTTTTCCTATCAATAACAACGTATCCATAAAATCGGTGCATAATTAGCAAGTTGTGAACAGTAACTTGTTTTAAACAAATATATATATGACAGTTGTATAAATATACGTATTATATTAAATAATATATATTATACTTTTATGGGTCGTGAATAATACAGTTCACCTCAAATTTGGTGTAAATTACAAGTTCACAGTATAATTTTAATTAAAAAAGTTTTGGGTATTGGGATATGCGGCCAACCCTATTAAGATAGCAGCCGTTCTAGCTAATTAGTTTTTTTTTAATAGAAATAAAAGAGGCATAAATGGTGGGCATTATTGGACCAATGAAGTCTACATAAAGAAGAGGTGCATGTGGAATTGTTTCCCATGCAATAGTTTTTTTTGTGAGTGTGTGTCCTCAAATTTCCAGTTCTGCCTCAGTAAGTTTGACAAGGAGATAGCTGAGAAGAAATCAAAAATGGTGTCAAAAGTGGAAGAAGGAATGAAGAGAAACAGAGAGCAGCAGCACCAACATCAACAGCAGAAACATATAGTAATGCAGTGCAACAAAGGAAAAGCTGGCAAGTTCAAGAGGAGCAGTACATATCTTGAAGAAGATGGTGCTTCTTCAGCCATTCTCTTCCTTGCTTGCATTGCCTGTGTTCCTCGCTTCCATGGACAGCTACCTGCCTAGCCGCCATCAATATATTAAACCTATTAATTCCTTATATAACTGTTTCTCCTTCTCCTTCTTCAGTTGTCATCTACTGATGCCTTCTTACCCTTCTGGCTACTCCGTGGAAACAGAACACATAGAAAGATATATGTGCCTTGTAATGACTGGATTTTCTTCTGTCTCTGCCTTCGTGATGTCTCTCTAGTCAGTAACCCATTTCGGGTTAGTACTAAATAGCCTAAACCTTGTTCAATCCTCTCCTTGTAATTCTTCTGTGCAAGTGTATTATATCCATATTAATGAATGTGTGGTGATTCTTATTAGTCGTCTCAAAATATTGATTTAGCTTTCTCTGTATCCTTCACTGGCAGCACAATTGAAATACACCAGCCCCATATAGCCATGGTACCTCTAACTTCATATTGCTGGACGAATTAAACTTTAGATATAGGTATTGTAATAACTTCATTTTGCTTACTATAAATTAAAAAAGGGTAACTGATGAAGTATATATTTTATTCAACCGCCACAGATGATTATTCATGCAGTTCTGTAATATATATTATTGATGAACACGTGAAAGGCACAGTCACACGCAGCACCAATTCATCTTTTAGTTTTGATTTGGATGGTGAACAGTGGATAATCTCTTTCCCGTTTTTCTTTTTTCCCACATGAAAGAATGGAAATGCAGCTAAACAAGTCATTTCACAGCCAACATCATAGTTAAAGTTGAAAAGATAATTCCGATTTTAGCAACATTTGCCACCCTTCTCTGTTCCCCCCCCCCCGGGGGGGGGGATTTTCTTCCGTACCAAATCCTCCCTCACAAAATCCTGCTTGGCTCCCTCTTCCTCTCTTGAGACAATAACAACGTACCCCCTTCTTCCACCATGCATTCATGTCCTGTACTTGTTGAATATTACACTCCAAAATTTTCAGTGCCTGTGGATATTAGAGGATGCTCTATCAGAAGAAGAAGAAGAAGAAGAAGAAGAAGAAAGGAATAGAAAGGTTGAGAGATGGTGGAAAAAGGAGGATGGTCGATGGCCTGTGGTTAGTGGTTACTTTAATTTGGGAAATATAATCCTTGTTTTTTGGATGGGTAAGTGAGATTTGAAAAATAAGAAGCCAAGTGGTGACCCACCACACAAGTGATAAGGCAAACCAGAGTGAGAGTAACCTTACATATCGATTGAAGGCGGTGTCTGAACTCTGGAAGAAGAGAAAAAGCATTGAAACCAATGATCAAATGAAGATAAGAACATAAAACAAAATCGAAATGGAATATAATTTTTTTAATAAAAAAAAATGCAGAGCCGCGAGTCGGTCTTGAATGATTAAGTCACGTCAACGTTGCAGTAGAGAAGGCAAGATAATGATCCAAAAAATGAAGTCGAACAGAGAAAGGAATATAATGAAATGCATAAAAACGGAGGACAGGGGAGGGGAGGGGGCCAGGCTCCACGTGTTGGAAAATCAAGTTTGTTACATAGCCGGAAACAAATGCCGTGTAAAGCGGCAGGGCCCCTCCCAACGATGTGCTATTTCCACTCCAAGTCGCACACACTGGCTCCACCATCTTTCCGCAAAGAATGGCTCAACTAACACAACCATGGCTCTCACTATTTTGCACACTTCCACTACATAAAATTGAAACTCATCTCTGTCTTACTTCTGTTTGGGAATTTTGAAAGAAAAGAAAAAGAAGAATAAGCATTTTTACGTAATTTTATATGACTATCTAATTAGGTTAGGTTAGAACATTGTCGAGTCAAATTAAAGATAGCTTTTTTAAAGATTAAAAAGTTGTGTTTTAAAACTAGTATTTATTTGTGTACTTGCAGACAGTCCTTCATATATTTATTTTATAGAGGATAAAATTGTTCAAAATAAATTATTGCAGACACCCACTGATCTTGCTCTGTTTTAGTTTGGTGCTTCTAATAATCATGATCAAGAATACATGTTAGAGTGATGAGATCATGATCACCACAGAATGTCATTATATTTTATTTAAACTGTTTTTATCTCATTGTCATCATCTCCATTCTTTAATTTGTTATGTATAATAATTTATTTACTTGTTAGAAAGAGAAACATAATAAATAAAATATAAATTTTCTATAAATTATCATCGTCAAATGAAAATCAGTATCCAAACACTAAGAAAACAAAACACCTATAAAGACTTAGGACTTATTTGGATTAACTTATAAGTAGCTTTTCAAACGTGATTTACAGAATACAAAGTAAGTATGTGAAAAGAGTTTTGTCTCGATTTATGTGAACTTGCTTAAAAGTCTGTTTTGAAAGGAGTTCCAAACAAATCCTTAAAATGGGTGTGCATCTACTCCCTGTGTTTTGAGAAATTAGTCTATATTATTGGTAGAAGAAGTTCCTCATAATTCTTAAAAGATAAAATCCATGTCATGAGTTTTTTTTTTTGGGGTTGCCAACATGTCATGAGTTTGATTAAAACATGCGAATTAAGAATTAAAAAAAAAAAGAAGATAACATTCTCGCATGAAAACACCAATATAGGTCTAAACTGCGGGCCAAAACGCTGAATGCTCCGATTCTAAATTCTACTTGCTAGGAACGCTGCAAAATTTTCAGAAACGACACAGTAACAATGCTGATTAAGAAAAAGATGAGAAACTACTAGAATTATTTGAAACCATATTTAAAATTAGATCGATGTTGCTTATAAACTTCCATCGGCAACATTAATTACCGTAATTATACCTCCATAGTATATTTAGCTATGTAAAGGTTATCAAAACTATGCTCTGTGGGGACAGCTTTGCATCGGGCAAACTCTTAATTAATTAAGATCCAACTTTATATGATCAATGAATATTTATTCTCCTCGTCCTTATGACCTGGGAGGTCAGAAATCAGAATGTTGGGAGACATCGAACAATAATTTTTGCCTAGTGTTAAAGGAAAAAGAGGTACAAGAATTCGGGGAATTAGATAGTTCTAATAACTAATAAGCTTGGCGCATTAAGAGTTAATATAATAATAGTTGGGTTAATTAATTTGTAAGTCCTTATAGTTTCAACCAATTTTGAATTAAGTCCCTATAGTTTTTTTTCTTTTTATAAAATCCTTATACTTTCAGCTGTTTTTAATTAGGTCCTTGTATTTATTTTTCTTTTTATCAAATCCTTATAATTTCACTAAATTTTAATCAGGTCCATGTAGTTTTAATTTTCATTTATTAATTAAATATAAACTTAATTAAATAGATTAATACTGAAATATAAAATATTGATAATGAAATTAAATTACTAATTATATAATAAAAATAAGTAATATAATTAATTAGTTTAGGAAATTTTTTTAGAACAATTAATATTTTCTTGCTGGCAAAAAATAAAATTACTATAATAATTCATTATTTTTAGAATATTATTGTTTATAAACTAATATTAAATAATATATACTATTTTATGGTAATAGAATAGTAATATTAGAATTTATAAAATAAAGAATAAAAAATTCAGGGACTTAATTAAAAATAAAGTAAAATTATAAGGACTTGATAAAAAGAAAAATAAATATAAGGACCTAATTAGAAACAGGTAAAGGTATAAGGACCTGATAAAAAGAAAAAAAACCTATAAGGACCTAATTCAAAATTAGTTAAAATTATAAGGACTTACAGATTAATTATCCCATAATAGTTATATAGTTAATGTTTCTTAACGTATGGCAACCATATCAGCATTGTTTATTAACCACTCATACAGGCCGGCAATTCGCATAATTGTGCCGGGGATACTTGGTCTCAATCTTATGGTTCTTTGTCTTCGCAAAACTTGACAGATTAGATTCCCTTAAAATCTATTCTCACCTGTAGAAACCGATCTATTCATCTAAGCGAAGCCTCTATTTTTTCGGTTTTTTTCCCCTATTGCTGTTGGTTTTTCACCTTCGATCATCTCATGAACTGAAGGTGAAAAACTGGTGGAGAAAGAAGGTTGATAATCAGATTTTGCATGCATCACACAGCAGTCTTCCAACATTTTTAACATAGAACATATGAACGAACTTCCTAATGAGATTTCTCAGAACAAAATTTGAATTTTGGTAATTAATTCATTTTATTTCATATGCGGTTATATCACCGGTTTCAAAGTTCACATAACAACTTTTCTTGACCGGAAAAAGCTAGAAACAGTGTTTAATTCGGAGGAACTACTGTACAGCGTATAGTGTGTGTATATATAGACCCAATTGGATTCATGTGTCAGATGCACCGCTTGCTTCTGTTGTTTCCATGGTTTGCTTTGCGACTGATCTCCCGTTTGATTCTCTCAAATATGTGTCTATCCGAATTGATTGTTGGTTATACATGATCTTGTTGACCTGATCGAGATGATCTCTGCATTTAGATACGTGAAAAGAAGGATCGATCAGAAACGAAAAGCGCTTTTAATTTCAAAATCATTTTCCAAAACTCGAGGAGAGCGATGCTGGTACATTCATCTTGCATCATTTCCCTATGACAATGATCACCTTAACAATATTAACCTCCACGTCTTACCAGTCTGTCTTCTTGTAACGCTTGTAAGACGAAAATAAACCTTGAAAATGTCGACATAAGAAAAATAGCATATATATTAAAATGGCTCGGTAGAACGGCCTTTGAGAACGTTGCTGAGAATCCTTTGAAAAGCAGAAGAGAGAAGAAAGGTTAAAGAGATTTTTGATAAATATGTATCCTCCTCTTTATAGAGTCGTCAAGAATGAGAATATTGGTGATGATGAAAATTCAGTACTTGGCCTCAGCCTTCGACTCGCAGAAATGGGTTGTTGTGCTTATCCTCGTTCTACTCGGATCCTTCCTCGTTCTGATGACGATGAAACCAAGAGAGACATAAAGATGATTAAGAGAACCATAAGCATGTCCGATGTGCTTGGAAATTTCACCAGTCATACGAGCAGTGGAAATGGCGATCATCAATATGGCTGTCTTACACGTGGCAGCAATATGAATAGCCTGCCAAAGCTTCAGTTCAGAGATCACATATGGACTTATACTCAGAGATACCTTGCAGCTGAAGCTTTTGAAGAGGCAGCACAGGAGATGATCGATTCTGATCAAGCCGAGGAAGATGGATGTGCTGACGGAATGAGACTTGTTCAACTTCTAATTGCTTGCGCGGAAGCTGTGGCTTGCCGTGACAAATCGCATGCTTCTAATTTATTATCTGAGCTTAAAGCCAATGCTTTAGTGTTCGGTTCTTCTTTCCAAAGGGTTGCTTCTTGTTTCGTCCAAGGCCTGGCGGATCGTCTTGCCTGGATTCAACCTATTGGGGCTGTGGGATCTATAGTGCCTATAATGAACATTATGGATACAGCTTCTGAAGAAATGAAAGAAGCTTATAAATTAGTGTATGAGATTTGCCCGCATATTCAGTTTGGTCACTTTGTAGCTAACTCCACAATATCGGAAGCCTTTGAGGGTCAGAGTTTTCTTCATGTGGTGGACTTAGGGATGAGCCTTGGTCTCCCCCACGGGCACCAATGGCGAGGACTGATCCAGGATCTTGCTAACCGCGCCGGGAACCCTGTTCGCCGGCTTCGAATTACTGGCGTTGGACTTTGTATTGAGAGACTCCAGAACATAGGTGAAGAACTCGAGGCTTATGCAAAAAACTTGGGGATCAATCTGGAATTCTCAGCAGTGCAAAAAAACTTGGAAAATTTGCGTCCTGATGATATACAAGTCCATGAGGGTGAAGTTCTAGTTATAAACAGCATTCTTCAGTTGCATAGTGTGGTGAAAGAAACTCGTGGATCTTTGAACTCAGTGCTTCAGATGATCCATAAGCTCTCACCAAAAGTGTTTGTTATGGTCGAGCAGGATTCAAGCCACAATGGACCCTTCTTTCTCGGGAGATTCATGGAATCGCTGCATTATTACTCTGCAATATTTGACTCGCTTGATGCTATGTTGCCCAAGTATGACACAAAGAGGGCCAAAATAGAACAGTTTTATTTCGCAGAGGAGATAAAGAACATAGTGAGCTATGAGGGAGCAGCGAGGGTGGAGAGGCACGAGAGACTGGACCAGTGGCGGCGGAGGATGAGCCGGGCCGGGTTTCAGGCGGCACCGATCAAGACGGTGGCTCAGGCCAAGCAGTGGCTTCACAAGAAAGAGGTCAGCGATGGATATACCGTTGTGGAAGAGAAAGGATGCTTGGTGCTTGGATGGAAATCAAAGCCAATTGTTGCTGCTTCTTGCTGGAAATGCTAAATACTTAAATCTTTACCGCTTGCTTTGGTGTTTGGAATCAGTATCAATCAATAAAACAGTTTCCACGGGGCCGTGAATAATCTGTGTCACAGTAGGAATGCCCAAATTCAGTGGTGTCACTGCAAATTTGGAATGAGAATAATAAATAGTTTCAATGTTTGGTTGTTCCACATATATAGATCGCGAACAGATGAAATACTAAATTATTAAGAGGATATGTACATTCTCACAATATTTCATTCATTCTATATGTATGTTGTGACAAAATGATTTTTCCCTGCAGTTCTTTCTTCTATTTTAACTAGAATCATTCTATGAAATTAAAAATTTTCCACCATATTAATTCCTTTCTTTTCCTTTCCCATACTACCAGTCACAGACACTAAGAAGTTCGAAAAACCAGCGGGCATGAATCTAAATATAAACTGAGGTGGCGGTTAAAAAAACACGACAGAAGATTTGCACCATATAGTTTTAACAGTTTCAACATAGAAATATTAAAAATTTATATTTTTAAGATAATGAAAGAGAGTAGTACAATTGCGCACATATCTATCTACACGTAATTGTCTGGATCAGCAAAGTTATTTGATCACGTATTTATTCCTAACTTTTATATTTTCGTTATTCACCACCGTTCATTCTATACATATCAACCGGAGAACAGCATTAAGAAAGTTAATACTACCTCCGGTCCCTAAGGAAGAGAGTGTTCAGTTCCATATTTTTATGACATACTACCTCCCTCAATCCTTCATATAAAAACTCACTTGACTTTTATTTTGATCTAAATATAAGACTCTAATTCATTTTGTTTCTTATATTTATCTATTTTTTCCTAAAATAGTCCTCATAATAATAGTAGTTTAACCAATACACTTGATTAGCAAAAATATTTTACAAATATAATACTTTTTTTATTACAAATAACTAACTTAACAAACATTTTTAATATAATCAAATACACTTGATTCCCAGCTCTATCTTCCATCACGGATGGATGTATGGAGATATATAAGCGCTAGTTGATTCATTTGAATATATTAAAAAAATAAGTTTTTGGCCAAAAAAAAGAAAATAAGTTAAATTAATTATTTGTAATAAATAAATATTGTCTTTCTTAAAATATCATTGCTAGACAAGTATATTGACTAGAACCATCATTATTAAAAGAATTAACTTTTAAAAAAATATATAAATATAAGAGACTAAATGGACTGTAGTCTTATATTAGAATCAAATAAAAATCAAATAAAATTTTATATTAGGGTAGTAGTAATTTGTTCAATCAAGAAACCAAAAAATACGCTGATGTGCGTGCATGCACGTTCACGCACAGATGACAAAACTCACACACTATACACACACAATATAATGTACGTGGACGTACTCATTAAAGCAGGAGTCATGCATCTGAGATTGAAATACGACAAGAAACTGTCCAAGCAAAAGCATGAACTAACGAAGACATAACTCGAATAGCGCAAGGTTGCCGTATTTTAAATGAACCACTTCTTAATCAGGGATGAAGTGAAGCAAAAAAATAAACCAAGTCCATTATCTTATATAATCACTTTTTCCAAACTAATATCAGGAGAAGACTCAAAAGCTCTTACCAGAAATATGGAGTCTGAACAAGCAATGGCGAGAGATCTCAACCTCAAAGGCTACCTGTAACCCACAAGACCAAACTGAATCACTACAAAACCAGAACTTTAGCGACGACTTTCGGCGGCGACAAAAAAGTCGCCGCTGAAAGTGGACCTGTCGCTGCTAAAAGTTCGCTATTGAAACTAAGACTTTCAGCAGTGACTTTTTTTGTCGCCGTTGAAAGTTCGCTACTGAAACTAAACTTTTTAGCGCGACAAAGTTCCCACTGAAAGTGGACCTTCAGTGTGACATTTTTGTCGCCGCTGAAAGTGGACCTTAGCGGCGACTTTTTTTGTCACCGCTGAAAGTGTAATATATAATATATTTTATTTAACAATATTAATAAACAATTCATATGGCTCAGCGGCAAGAAGATTGGACACGAAAGGAGCGGTCACGAGTTCGAACCTTGAAGAAGACACATTTAAGGTGAAAATATTGAACGATGACGTTGGCGAGAAGGAGGATGTGGTAATACTGGCGGTCGGTGAGATGTGGCTGTCGATGATGACAACGTGGCGGCCGACGGTGATGATGTGGCGGCTGGCGACGATGACATGGCACCGGCGGTGATGACGTGGCTGCCGGACGATAATGTGGCGGTCGGCGACGATAACGTGGCGTTGGTGAAGCCAATTCTTCTTAGGCATTACTTTTGTCGCCGCTGACACTTTCGGCTTGTCGCTGCCAAAAGTGTCTTTTTGCGGCGACATTATTGTCGCTGCTGAAGTGTTTTCAGGAACTCTAAAAGTCACTGCTGAAAGTATCTTTTAGCGGCAACTTTTTTAGTCGCCACTGAAAGTTTTCAACCACGGCTGCTACGGCAACGACTTTTCAGCGGCGACTTTTATAATTGCGGCTGAAAGTCAATTTTTTTGTAGTGAATGCCAGGGCAAATCTCATAGCTAACCACTCAAAATGCTGAATAGTCCATACTTTTTGATGCAGAGATCTCCTACAATCTCGCAGACTTGTATGTATTATGTGTGTGTATGTATAGACATGTAAAGTTTGAAAGAGATAATACAAATAAAGAGAGAGAAAGTATACACACGCATATGATGAGCACAAATATAGGATATAGATTCATGGACAACTTTACTTTCTTATATGTTTCTCTTTTTCTCTGAGAATCTTACCGCATGATGATATATTGTAGAAGATTCGTCGGAAGCTGCATCATTCGTCACTCAGCTGGGAGCTGGGCGTTGGACGCGAAAAAGAAGCGGCTCGATGGCTGGTATAATATATAATTAAAAGAAGCAAAAGTAACCAATGCCAAATTAAGCATTGATTAGTTAGCTTTAAACCTGAAAGAACGCACGTACGCCATGATCATGTGGAGAGAGCGTTTGATTAATTAGCCGGTCACGCACATCGTCGGGGCATGCAATTAGAAGTAAACAGGCCTCATTCCGTCAGCATATCCGTCATTAATTCCTCAGCTTCCCTCAGACCACTCTATGGCAATCCCCATATATATATACATACGGATTCGTGAGGGGCGTTAATTTCTTTGGAGGCGATGAGTCTTAGGGATATCCCAGAGACGACATGCAGATAAAGTACAAGCATATTAATATAAGACCTAATAAATTAATTTAAATATATAGATTAAAAATATCAGTTAATGAGTTAATATGTTTTTTCTTCTAAAATATCATAATAATCTTCCTTAGTTTTCCTTCCTCCCTTACTTGGTTGTTATCAATAGAATATTAATAAGGTTAATTTAAAAAAAATTAATAAACACGTAAAATAGTTTCACATATAAGATCAATATTAACTCTCAAATTAGGTCTTATGTTAGATTGGAGGAGTGTATTATGTTTTGTTTCCTTGCAAGCAAACATAGACGGATTTGAGATCCGAGGCCATAACTCTACCTAAGCCGCGTATAAAGTGAAATGACAGATTAATATCTACAAACAATATATATACTTCATTCTATGTGACCGTGTTTCTACCGTGTGCGCAATAAAACCAGGGTTCATGAAAGTGTTCAGTGACTTAAGAATTAAGACAATGATGGCCGTTGGTTTTCTCTCAAACAATACTTGCGTTGTGAGGTTGTTGAATTTCCCTTTTTTTTTTTAATGGATGGTTTTGACTTTTGAATTGCCTGGTAAATTTATTAGATGCTTCCAAGAAAGGTGCTAAAAATGTATAAGAAGCATCCAGAGGTGAAATAGATATCCAAGTTCGTAGATGTTACCAAGGAAAATAGCCTTCCTTACTAACTGATTAATTTATCAGCAATATGATGCTGATGATTAAGTTGCTGATTACCTTCCTCGGACACGCATAGATGGCGATTAAGAACAAATTAATTATCTATAATTAATTTTGCTTTATATGCTCATAATTTTTTGGTTTTCAGATTTTAAATAGTCTTACCCTCATTAGTTGATCCGATCCATGCGATTTTCATTAATATTATTAAAGAGCGCCTATTCAAAATTGTTTTTAACTTTTTATCCCCACTCAAGTGATATTACAGGAGTGTTTTAGACATCCAAAAGTTTTTTTTAGTAAGTCAGGATAAACTCTTTTATATATTTATTTTGTATATCATAAAATTATTTTTAAAAGTATGGTTTAGTTTTCATCCAAACACTCCGTAAACGTTTTATTATTAGTTTAGATGCATTATTGATTTGACTGAAGAAACAACGAAGAGAAGCTAGTCCCCCTTCAGATGTTTTATTTTGCAACAGACAATTTAATTTCCCCACTTTATACTAGGATTCAAGCGTGATGGCAAAAAATATGCTTCGGAACGTCATAATATATCTGGTATTCAATAATGAAAATAACATTTGTTGACATCTGAATAAATAATGCTTTAATGTCCATGATAATCAAAGTTGACAACTTTGACGCAAAAAAAAGGAAAAAAAAAAGCTTACAACTTCAAGTTCCAACCACTTGGACAAAACTCCACCATTTTCATTAAAAAAAAAAAAAATCCTCGCTATACGCTCTGGTAAGAATTGATTCTATTTTGCAATCAATGATATTATATGTCTTTAATATAAAAACTAGTTAACTAATTTAAGCAGGTTAAAATAATTAATTAAGTTAATTATTTGTTATAAATAGTTATTGTCTTTTCTAAAATACCTTTATTAATCATGTGTATTAATTAAAACTATCATTTAATAAAATATTTAACACGTACAATTATTACAATGACTACTTTAGAAAAAATAGATAAATATGAAAGGCAAAGTAGATTAGTATTGTTTATTTATAATCAAATTAAATATCAAACTAGCTCTTATATTAAATATCAGAAGTAAAATTTGTCAAAAAAACAGATCCCAACATATAATATAAAAACCAAATATAAATAGGGAGAATCCTAAAAAAATATGTCTAAACTTTCAAAATAGAAATAACTACAAAAATGTATTGTTTGATTTTTAAATATTATAAATTATTATTAAAGTATGACAAACAACACTTATTTAAATTTTTAAAATTCAAAGGTATTCTTTTAAATTCTTATATATATAAATACAAGAACATCCTATCAAGCCTCGTAAAACATAACTAAAATAGCACTCTAAGAATTGATATATGATTAATCTTTTGGGTTTATGGTTCGATAATGGGATTTAGTCCATGTATTTGATAATTTTGGATGTTCAAATTTATGAAATACAAGACTCCTCATAAAATACGATGAAATATTGCAAGTTATTTTTTAAAAATACCATTATCTCTTTACTCTTAACTTAGCATAGAAAAAATTAAATTGGTTTCAAATACAAAAATTAATTACGTATAATGATTAATTTCCAACTACTTGTTAATACTACCTCCGTTCTTTAATATAAAATCTCATTTAACTTTTATTTTGATCCTAGATATAAGATCCAAATCTATTTTGTCTATAATATTTATATATATTTTTTAAGATAGTCCTTATATTTTAGAGAAAACAATACCTATTCATGACAAATAATTAACTTAACTTCTCTCCTTAATCTCTTCAAATTAATCAAATAGCTTTTATAATTAGAACCGGAAATAGTATATATATATATGAATTTGACATAAGTTTTGCTTAAATAGAATTAAGAAAACAAAGATAAAGAACGAGAATGAGACAGGAAAGCAAGAACAAAAAAAATAAATAAAACGAGGGGGTAACTGGGGGAATGGGACATACTATTATACTTTACGCTGCGTTGACGGAGGAAGAGGGCGAGATCGAGAGAGATAGGGAGAGAGATGGAGGCCCTGGCAGTGCTTGGCGGAGTTGCTTCAACCTCATCCTCTCTTGGACGCTCCACAACAAAGACGTCCTGCAACTCCTACTTCACCCAGAAGCCTATCTCACGCGCCTGCCATAAGCCACACCTCTCAGCGTTTCCTTCAAATTCTCATCTTTTTTCTCATTACCCTTCCCGCTCCAATGTCAAAACTCTCACCCGTCGAAGCTCCACTAAACCCGGCATCTTCCTTCCCCACCTAATTGCTTCCCTGGTTTGCTTTCTCTCTTCTCTCTATTTTTGTCAGCATCCTATCGCAAAAAATTCTCTTTTATTTTTAATATTGAAATTACTTATATGCAGGAACAAGTTGAAGAAACTTACATAATGGTGAAGCCAGATGGTGTCCAACGTGGCTTCGTAAGCCTCATTCTTCTTTGGATGCTGCATTTTTTGTTTTTGTTATAGTTTTAGACCTTTTGGCAATGTATTTTTGGCGCTGGGGGAGGGGATGTTAAACTCTCAAACACTTTGGGATGTTACGAAGATACTTTGGAAAAGAGCTAGTGTTAATTTTAGGAAGTACTAACAGTATCTTGTTTGTCTCTGAGAAAAATTTTGATTTTAGAAGTTTATGGTTAATATTACAAGTCATATATGTCTCTTTAAGTGTTGTTTTCTCTAGATTGTACTTCTGTTTACTGGATTTTCTGAATGTGTTGCATTGGCTCAGGTTGGAGAAATTATTTCGAGGTTTGAAAAGAAAGGGTTTAAATTAAAAGGCTTGAAGCTCTTCCAATGCTCAAAAGAATTAGCAGAGGTTCGTACTTGCTGCAATACCTTGTCTTAGATTTTATCCGAAAAGTATTTATGTTCATTAACATGTGTGTTAGGTGCAACAGTAATTCTTGTCTTATAGAAGATATGTTAGAGTTCCTCTCTTAATGTGCCTGTATATTTCCTGAGGAAATTTAAAATCTTATCATTAACTAGTTCAAATTTAACATTTGATTTTATGAATGATGTTTACTTTCTTCAACTTCTATTAGCCTATTTCCATTTATCATTCCTCTTGTTCTTGTTTGTGGTCACAGGAACATTACAAGGACCTAAAAGCGAAGCCGTTTTTCCCTAAGCTAGTAGACTATATCACTTCAGGTCCTGTTGTGTGTATGGTATAGAATATTATCCCCCACGATCCACCTTTTATCTATATTTTCGCTACTTAGCCGTTGAAGGTAATCATCTGGTTTCGCTGTAATGCTATTTTTGCAAGGCTTGGGAGGGTGTAGGAGTTGTGGCCTCAGCACGTAAGCTTATAGGGTCTACGGATCCTCTTCAAGCTGAACCTGGCACAATAAGAGGGGATCTTGCTGTTCAGACAGGAAGGTAAAAACCTTTACTGCTTTTGCATCTAACTGGTAACTTTTATTTGTCAACCCTTTGTCAAGAAAAGTGGTAAGCAATGTAAATTACTTTGCAACTAGGCATATTTTTTCTGTGCATTGTGTGAACTAGACAATGTCTCATGATGAACTTCTGGCAGGAATATTATACATGGTAGCGACAGCCCTGAGAATGGCAAGCGTGAAATAGGTAAAGATCTCTTCATGCTTTGAACCAATAAATGCAAGAAAAGAGATATGTGAGTCCCAAAAAAGAAAAAAACAAAGCTAACGGTTAATTTAAATATTGACACTTCAGCGAGTTTCAGAATTAATTTTTGATGATAAAAAAAAAAGTACAAATTGTCATTTTGGATTTACTGGTTGTTTGATGTCTGTTTTTATATGCTTTGATGAAGATAAGTTTAAACTTCCAGAACGATTATGTGGAACAGATTCACTTTAGAAACCGGACCCCCTAAGGGTCAAAATCATGTTTTTATAGGCACTGCTTTAATTTAGCGAGCGGACTGCTGTAAGTCCCTCCTTAGCAGTCTGACTCTGGAGTGACTGAGTCACTAATAATATGCTATGTGAAGGGAAAAAGGTCATGTGCAATACAGCGAGAATAGGGTTCATCAAGTGAGTAAATAAAATATTAGAGGAAGGATAAGTGCTAGACTTGGAAGCCAACGGTCTACCAACATTAGTTTTCAGGATCACAAGGTGAAAACAGAACGCTAGGTAAAAGGAGCAAATTCTTTTTCTTTTATACACTGCTTCATCATGTAAGTATCAATAGAATAATATAATCCACTGCTCTACGTGCTACTATCATCAAGTTTACTGTCTAAATCATCAAGACTGCCACCATGTCAAAATCTGGTAGGTTGAATAGCAACAGCATGCCAGCTCTATTGAGTAATCAATGTTTTGAGCTGAGATCACGAACGGAGTTTTTACTCCGTTCAAACCATGGCAGTTGTGGCCTAATGAATTGAGGAAGATAGATAATGGGCATGGCGTTCAATTACTCCATTTAGTTTTAAATATAGGAGTTAAATAATTAATTACAGAGATTAAGGAATTAAATTAACTAAGTTTAAAAAAATATATATGTTGATTTCCTCAGAATACTCTCTTTAATTATTTGTATTGAAACTACTTACATTGGTGGAAATTCTCTTTACATTTAAGATGTAAGTAAATTCTTTAACTAGCCTTTACATTTAGTGTGGAAGGGAGCATCATTTTAGATGTCAAATTATTTGTAGTATTCATGCTGAATTGAAGTTTTGCGTATAATGTGGAGATGATTGATTCTTGTGATTTGCAATGGTGGCAGCTCTATGGTTCAAAGAAGGCGGGTTGGTAGAGTGGACTTCTGCCCAAGCACCATGGCTGAGAGAGTAAATCATTTCCATCGCCCGATAACTGAGATACCTACAGTCTTGAAGAGCAATAATTTGATAAATTTTTTGTTCCCCAAAATAAGCCAGTACATTGGCATTGCGGATTTAATCTTTCCATTTGAGACGTGTTGTAAGATTTCACAATTTTTTTAAAGTTCATGTTAAGTTTGCGACCAATAATTGTTTACCGAGCACAAACGAAATACCCGCTAAGTTGCAAATACTACTAAGGTTTACATTATGGAGTAAGCAAAAATAGGAGGAAATCGTAAAATTCATTTTCAAAATTTGTGACAAAGCCAATTTTCTTCAAGTGTATTTGAAATAATACATAGATTGAAATGGTACATGGATCTCACTTTTGTTGTGAGCTAAGATGGGAAGCAAGCAATCAGCCACTGAGCCACTCTATCGCGTACATGCCATATAGACATGGACCCATATTTATTCCATCAATTCAGAGACCGGTGAAGATTGAATACTTTCCGTCTCACTTCTGTAATTACGCTCACTACAACTTGATGATACAGAGGGAGGGCGATCATTTTCGGTAGATACTGACTCGCCGCAGGGTGAATCAATGCCACCAGTGCGTCTGGAATCCTTTAATTTAGGAAAGAAATGAATTATTGAAATATTACTCTGCCTTGGCTGTTCCAAGGTCACAGTGGGAAGTTGATTCCTGCTAGGCGACGCACTTATAGAAGAGCAATCACTGTCTATCATCATTGAGCCATCACCAGCTAAATTTGGTGTGTGTTGAGAACTTGAACCACTTGCTGAAAGGCAGTTCGACATTACATTTGTTCCCTCAGATGAACTAATTGCAGAATCATCTATCATAATCTCATCCGCTTCTTTGCAGAATGCACTAGTGTCACGTTGAGCACCCAATTTTAGCTTCATGAGTGTGGCCTCTGCTCAACAATGGCAGGAACAAATAAAAATTTCATCAGTTCCGGCGATTGTAGTGCTTAATTGTTACTCCCAATTAAATTGATGAGCATGGCTAATAAGTCACAAACAAATGGCCTCACAAAGCATTCACCCAGCTCTGACGAGTGGCATTCTATTTCATAAACAACTGAATAGATGGTATTGAAGGAGAGAATGACGCGCACAACGCAAGCGGTTTAGAATTAGATTACAAATACTTCGAGTACAGAAAAGTTACCTTCCGTTCAACAGAAAATAAAAAAGAGAATCAGTCCCAAAAAAAAAAAGGGGAAAAAAAGGAGAAGTTGCCTTCCTTCCCAAAAGAAAATCATTATCCTCTCCAGCGGAAAATTCCCGAATTTTTTAAGCTTGGGCAGAATCAGGCAGAGATTTAAACTTGAAGAGAAAACATGCTTCTGATTATAATTGAACTTCGAAAAACGCATCTCATCTACTATTCAAGAATCAGAATTCGCATAGTGAAAAGACTGAATCGAACATCAGAATTCAGACACAATTACTCTAATAAGTTCGATCGTAGGTGCAGGAATAAAGCGAGTACCGTAGATGGAGAATGAATCATCTTTGAGAATCTTGGATGGCGATCCCTCCAACGTTTCCAGCGACGCAGGAGATGGTCTGATTCTTCCAAACATTTCTTAATGTACCGTCTTTCAGTTTCAGGACTGAGGTCTATACGAAACAGTTATCGATTCGGTCCGGGCCGGGCGGGCTGTCCCGAGACGCGATGCCAGAGATCTAAAAAGACGAAATTTCCTATCTGCACAATGGCGCGCTTCACTTTAAAGAACAGAAATTGAGCGGGAATCATCCTCTGCACGCTTTCGTTTTCCGCCCCGGTTCCTTTTTTTTGTTTTTGGTGATAACCTTTAATCTCGTTTTAAAATGTTTATATTGGGCTAGTGCGGTGGAAACCCGTTTCTTTCTATCTTTTTCCCTTCTGAAGCCCGTTTGTTATTGCTGAGTTAGTGTGACGTTGACGGGCCCAAAAAAGTTGGCGCTGACAAAAAACCGGCTCTTTTTCCATCAATTTTTTTGGGAAAATAAAACAGGCAGCTAATTCAAATAATTTTAGAAAATTAATTAAATCAGCTATGTATATATCTTTAAAATGCCTCTAATTATTTACATTGAAAATAGAGATGGTCTGAGAAAACTATTAAATATGAGAGATTAAAAAAATTGAATTCTTACATTTGAAACTTTTCTTGGGGCCAAAATTCTTACATTTAAAACTAAAGTAAGCTTTTTAACTAATTTCCATATTTAAAATCCAAAGGAGCATATTGTAATCATCACAGAATAAGAAGACGTTCTATAAGGAATTATCCCAATACAACATATTAATTGAATAATGGAAATAAAAATTCCAAAAGTGAATGTATAATATATTCATTTTGAGAACCAGACGCTTGATTGTTATTAATTTGGAAGTCATCCTACAAGAGTGACATATTCCCCAAAGGAAAATGCATTCAATAAAACCTCTTGAAATCGACTGTGTCTGCCCCTCCACAAATTTCTAAAGCTCTCCCAGGAAACAGTACACTTCAAAGATCAATAACACGCGACAACTTCTGGATCCGGTTCAATAGAAAGTCCCCTTGTTTGATAGTTGCTTGGTAAAGGGCATTCTTAGAATCAGGGCGGTTAGTCTCTAGGACGCCTGCGACTTTATCAATCTTGCAATGTAGCTTCCCAGCTGCAATAAAACGGGATAGCTCCCTGAAGCAAAACATTGTAATGCGTTAGATAAACATTCCATTCGCCTAACAAGAGAATCCAAACATTTTTCATCAATAAAGAATCAAACAAAAACTGAGTTTGAAATAATTATCACTTACAGATCAATGAAATCCACGGTCACCCCAAATGCTTTTGCCATTGCCTCATTGTAACGCTCTTGTAAGATTCCAAGAACTGTGAATAAACAACGG